TGTCTAATATGATTTTGTGTGCCATTTATGTGAATAGATGTGGTTTTGAATTTCTATCTATTCACCGTAGGAAAATCTGTTTGACTTTCTGCTTCGGAAATTAAATTGAAGGCTTTATCGGCCACCAAACCCGAAATTGACTATGCCATTGTGATTAGCATAATTTTTAGAGCCTACGGTGAAATTTAATTGAAAATTTATTCGGATCAAAATAATTAGATTCAGAACGATTAATTAAGTGCTCAATTATTTAATATTAAAATAATGTGATTAAGAGGGGCTATATAAGGGCCATTATATGTTCAATCCTTCTCTTTTATTCGATTTGGCTGATGATAACTCTAAGAAAAGAGAGAGGGTCGGCTAGAGAGAAAGAGAGAGGGAAACAATTGAAGTTTGATCATTGAAGCTTGAATAATTTGAAGGCCAACTCAAGATTTGACCATAAATTGGGGAGATTGAGCTTCTAGGTGAGTAATTGATTATGAGTTCACGAGTTTAAAATTGTAATTTTGTGAATTCAAAGTTAAATGATGATCAAGAACAAGGATTGTGTTGTATTTGATAAATTTGAAGTCAATAGATGCATGCATGAAAGAAATTGCTATGGATTTCCATGTTTGAGCATAATGTGTGTGATCCTTGTTGAATTTTGATTAAAGTCCATGTATTTGATCATCTCTTTACCAACTAAATTGAGAGTGTTGAGTATATCCCACATGCAAGAACAAATCATGGAGGTATAAGTCTTGAATGTTTGAATTTAGTATGTTGGTGATGAGTTTGGGACAATTCGAGTCATGAATGTAATTGATTCATGAAATTGATCTTCATAATGTAATGAATTTGGTGTTGGAGCATGTTAGTACATGTATATGTGAAGTTTGAGCCATAATATGCAAGATATGTTGATTTGAATATTGAATTTGAGCTCAAGAACAATTCTGGATTTTCCAGAATTTGGGATGTCCGCTTGAGCGGGGAAGGCGCCGCTTGAGCGAGAAATACGAGCTCCCAAGACTTTTTGCAGACATGATGTCTGCTCGAGCGGGGAACTTCACGCTCGAGCGGGGAGCTATGTAGAATGACCTTCAACTCGAGCGTCCGACTTCACACTCGAGCGTAAAAGTGAAGTAACTAGTACTTTTGTAGACCTAATGGGTCCGCTTGAGCGGGGAAGTTCACGCTTGAGCGGAGACCCCTGTTTTTGAAATTTTGTAAATATGTTCTATGCTTCGTTTCCCGTTCTCTTTCACTTCTAAGTACTCTTAGGCATGCATTAAGCATTGTAAATGAGTTAAAAGGATTAAAAAGAAGCCTAAAGAGGAATATGTGAATAAATGAATGGATTGAATCGTTTGTGACCCATGTGTGTTATGTAAAATGTAGGGTCAAGCTCTAGGGCAAATCATTCAGCTGATCACTGTGAGTAATATCTTCATAAAGATATCTGAAGTATGTTATTTGTCCAATTGCTTACTCCTATGTAAGTCTTATAGGTTTGTTAATTTGAATGGTGGACAAATGTTTGCTACGCAAAATGAATGGGCCACAGACCAGTTTGACATGAATGAAAAAATGAATGGGTTAGAGGCCAGCCTGACATGAAAGATAGAATGAATGGGCCGAAGGCCAGTTTGACATGAAAGATAGAATGAATGGGCCGAAGGCCAATTTGACATGAAAGGTAGAATGAATGGGCCAAAGGCCAGTTTGACATGAATGAAAGAATGGATGGGCCAAAAGCCAGTTTGATCTGAATGAAAGAATGGTTGAGCTAAAGGCCGGTTTGACATGAGTGAAAGATAAATGGGCCAAAGGCCAGTATGACATGAACGAATTGGGCCCGAGGCCGTATGATGTGTTTGGAACCATAGTCACTTGACCTAAATTTATATATATATGCTAAATAGAAATACGAATTGGGCCCAAGGCCGTTTGAAGCATGTTGTTCTATATACCGCTTGTACAACTTCTTTATTTGATATTATTCACTGGACTTTTGCTCACGCTCATTCATGTGTCTGTAGGTGAGCCAAGGGAGGTCCAAACCCAGCCTCAGTGAAGTTTGTGTGGAACAACCAAAGTTTTGAAGAGTCAGCCCTTACGTCTCACGCACGAGACCCTTCTTCGCCCTTTTGCTATCTTGTTTTATTTTGTCATGTCGGTGAGGACTTTGGATATGTTTGTATATAGTTTTGATTGGCTGACTTAGACTTGAATAATCCTGTATGTACAGAACTTTGCGTTAGTACATATTTTGATGTGAGTTATTAACATGTATTATGTATGGTTTGCTATGATGTGCCATATAATCACAGCTCTATGGACAAAAGTTTGAAATTGCTTCCGTTTGGCCCTTTTACTCTGATGGGTTATGTCTTATTTGGTTTGAGGCCGTAGGTAATCTTGTGATTACTGGCCGGTTATGTCCTTAACCCATGGGGGCGGGTTCGGGTCATGACAGGTGCTCTCATAAACCCTAACTTATGATGTAGTGGGTGTGTGGCTTAATTGTGAGATGAGGTGTTCCAAAATTATCAATGTCATTTTTAGTAATTTCATTTGAGTATTGTAATAAATAAAAAAAAATTTAAAAATAGAGGTCCCGAAATAATTGATGAGGAGCTAATTGCAACACTCATATTTTATTGTGCAAAACCCACTCATATAATACATTCTTTTTTGCTACTCTAAGTGAATGATCATTGTATGTAAGTTCAATTAATCTAAATGAAATGATTTTTTTATTTAATTTCCAATCATTATCAATATAATGTGCAGTGATGCATTGCTGTTCTAAACTATTATTTGACTACAAATCAGATGTTAAAAAAACTCTTTCATTCACTGAGGTGCAAAACCTCAGTGAATCATTTCAAAACGGGATATTCGCTAATAGTAAAAGGTTATTCTTTTTAATAATATAATTAACTACAGAATCTTGTCCATGCACAAGATCGTATGAAAATGTTTGTAAGTTACTAGTTGATAAAGCCCTAATTGCATTTGAGTTCTAATATCAAATTGTTGACTTTGTAAATGTCTTTGAGCATGCCTTTTTAGATAACTAGTACCCCCATTGATGTAGCACTAAGTAAATGTGCATAATATTTACATTTTGCTTTAAATACAGTTGTACCATCAGGATTAGTTGTAGATACTCCTTCAAAATGCTCCCGAACAGTCAGTACTAGGTGTGCCCTAGATGATGATGCTATGGTTGGAAAAGGGATATTGATGATGCTATTGTTGGAAGAGGGATATTATGATGCTATTGTTGGAAGAGGGATATTAGGTACAGTAGAAGGAAAATCAATAGATTCATATTGTGTATATTGATTAACATCAACATAAACATTAAGAAAATTAAGATCCATAGTAATATAAGTAAATAATATATATTAACTAACAATTAATTAAAATAAAGAGTAAACAATAATAAATAATATATGTTAAGAAATAATTTAACGTTAAAAAATGAGTAGCTAATAAATGTCAATTTAAATAATTAATGTTACTAACTGGCGAATACGATACAAAAATTAATTTTTTCTGGTAAAAGATTCTTTTTGCACAATTGCAATTGCCACTTACAAATGAGATTTGAAAATTAATTGTGAGAGTTAAGAATTGAGAGAGAATGAGAGTTTAAGAGAGATTTGTTTGTGAAAAATAAATTGGAAGATAGGGTGTTATTTATAAGAGGAAGGGTCAAATTTAAAAAATAATAAATAAATAAATAAATAGGCTGTTTGAGATTAACGGTCATATGACCGTTTGGTTTGAAATTTCAAAATTTTGATCGTTGGGGGATGTTTCTGTTGGGGGGCCAGGTTGGGTTGGGCTGATGGGTGAGAAAAAATTCTCAAGTCAGGTCGGACAGGTCATGGGCTAGGGTTGGGTTAGGCAGGTCGGGTCGGACTCCAGAACACATGGTTCAGGCCCAGGGTCTTGGATTGGGCTCGCACCTGGCCGAGCCTAATCAGGCCCGCCACCTGGACTGTGGGTTGGCTTCGAGTGGACCGCGGGTTCATGGGCTAATTTTACATCGTGATTTATATACATGCGTGCCATGTTTTTTGTTTACAAGATTCATAGACCATAGGATAATTGGAGCCATAGTTTGTGAATTGTTATATATTTGTTAGCCACCGATTTGTAATTTAAACATTGATGTATTATCTATGTATTTCCTTTTTGCATAAAAAAATTGTATGTCATTCATGGTTGGGAGACGATTTATGACCTAATGAGGTTGAAGTTGAGGTTGTGGTTGAGGATGGGACATTGCAAGTGGGAATTATGTATGATAGTAGAGAAAGAATTGGTCAATAATAATCAAACTTGGTCTTCCGCAAAACAAATGACATTTTACTTTAAATAAATGGAAATGGGCACATTACTTGAAAAATGATATATAAATTCACTTTTGAAATCTATTTTTTAAATTTATTGATGTGTAGGTAATATGATTAGTTGATAATGAGAGAAGATATGAGAGAGAGTGTTACCTTCAATATCTTAATTGATTGTCACATTATTTAATTTGAAAAATAAATCTAAATTTTGGTCTTTGAATAACAATGATCCTACTAAATACATTGATTTTTCTTACAAACTAATGAGAGTGGAAAATGAATAACCAAGAGAACATAACGAAATAAAAGTCAGATTTTTATTAAATAATAATCACTAGCATAATATTCGTGTTTTGCACAGGTCTAAATAAATAATTAAAAATTATTTTAAAAATTAAATAATAATAAAAGAAAAGTAATTTAAAATTAAATAAATTTTCACTATATTCACAACTACAATGAGTTCTTTTATTTTAAATTTTTTATTGTTATGTTAGTAACAGTTTATTCTATGTTTTCAATGATAAATACATATGTCATAACTTAATTAGTAATTATTAAATAAAATAGAATAAATTAGAAAACTACATTAATGATAAATTATAAAAATATTCAATCCTATGCGTTTCATAATTTTGGTTAGCTTATGACAAAATTCGTCTGATAATATTAAGCACATTTGTCAATTTACCAATTATTCCATTATTTATTTTGTAAAATTCAATCGATGAAAATTATTTTTAAAAATAAAATAAAATTGGAGATTGACATAAAAGAAAATCGAGTACCAATGATCCTAATCTTCGAACCACCCCTTAAATAAGACTTGATACCTCCAGACAACTTCTGAATCTTTCCACAAGCTCTTTAATTTTGGTTGATCACATTCATATCTTTTTTTTCTCCATATTGACCAATTCAAGATTTGGCTAACACCAGTGGTGGAGTCAGGAATTTAATGTAGGGGGCACCTATTAATTATAATCTCAAAATTTTTCTTCCCCAATTAATAACAATAATATAATAATTTTTCGAGCTAATATTAATAAAAATTAATATTCATTATAAAAAGTTTTTAATTTTAAACTTTTACAATTGACCCCGACGAGTTTTCATCTTTTGAAATCTTTCCATGATAGTATCATTGTCAATGCCATCAAAAGTCTCTCTCTCAATGTAGACAACCAAGCTATCATTCATCCATTCATCACCCATTCGGTTCTGCAACCGATTCTTCACAATATTCATAGCTGAAAATACTCTTTCAACAGTAGCAGTTGCAACAGGCAAGATTAATGCTAAAGTCAAGAGTAAATACACCAATGGATATATTTTGTCTCTTCTAGTCTCCACCATTTTCTTAGCAAGATCGGCAATTCCATTCAACCTTGATAACTCACTACTGGATAGCATGTCGATAATATATGTATTAAGTACAATGAGCTCCACTAAAAAAAATTCTTTGGTATAAAATTCAGCAAGATGAATTAACTTTTTCTTGTCAAAATTAGAGAAAGAGTTATATGGATTCAAACATTCCATACAAAGTAACAACTCAGTGTTCAACTTAGTGAAACAAGCATTTAGTTCTTGAATTTGCATATCCAAAACAGTATAGAATAACTCAGCGCGATAGTGATGTAAGTTTGTAATTTCTTGAGCATTGTGCCTTTTACTCCCTCGAGTTACAAACATATCATCCATTTGGGGAACATCAATTTCATGTTTTTCACAAAAAGATAAAATATCATCAAGTAAAGATGTCCACCCACTCTCCCTCATCTTTTGGAGCCGTACTTTAGAAATTTGAACAAAATTCATGGCATTAACAATATCTTGATCTTTCCTTTGTAGTGCTTGCGATAACTCACTTGTAATAGCCAATATCGTTTTTATCAAATGAAGGTTGAATACAAACTGAAATGATTGAATTGAGTCCAACAACACATTTGTTTCTGCTCGTTGTTTTGAATTTGAACCATCCTTCGAAATCATTTCAAGCACATCAATCACTGTTGAAAACATACCAACCAAGCTGACTAAAGTACCATAGTGTGAACCCCAACGTGTATCATCAGCACGTTTAAGATTAGTTTCTTGATTTAGGCCTTGCCCACTAGATAGCTCTCCAGTATTAAGTGCCTCGGCAACTTTTGCAGCTTGCTTTTCCCTAATAATATCTCGACGTTTGCATAATGCTCTAACAACATTCACCACATTAGAAACCAAAGTGAAAAGTAAAGCAATTTGATCATGATTCTTTGTCACGGCTACAAGTGCCAATTACAATTGATGAGCAAAACAATGAATATAATATGCACAAGGATTCTCTTTCAGTATAAGTGTTTTAAGACTATTGAACTCACCTTACATATTACTAGCCCCATCATATCCTTGACCCCGCAATCTAGAAATACTCAATCCAAGTCTGGAGAATAAATTTTCAATAGCTTGTTTGAGTGAGAGAGCATTCGTATTAACAACATACTCAATATCCAAAAAGCGCTCAATCACTTGGCCTTTTTTATCCACATATTGTATTACAACTGCCATTTGCTCCTTGATTGATATGTCATGGGCTTCATCAATCAAAATAGAAAAAAGTGCATAACCAAGATCTCTAATAATCACATTGATAGTTTCAAATGCGGCCACATTTACAAAATCTTTTTGAATATCAGGAGATGTCAACTTGAGATTTTGTAGAGCATTGCTTAATGCAACCACTTTGACATCTTTATTATGATCAGCAAGAAAATTGAGAAGTTCAAAAAAATTTCCTTGGTTACTTGAATTTTCAGATTCATCATGCCCCCGAAACGTAAGTCCTTGTCTTAGAAGAAATTTGACACAATCAACTGATGCATTCAAACGGGATCGATACTTAATTCGAACTTGGTCAGATTGTTTGAAAAAAATCGTTTGAATATGTTGATTTTGGTTTAACAAGTCTTGACATTTACTCGAAGCTTAATTATGAGTACTATTGAGACCTCCAACATGAGTTTGAATTTTTTCTTTTTTCTTTTTTCTTCCAATTTGAGAAACCCTCACCAACAAAAGAATCACTACCAGCTTGATCTCCAATATCGGGTTTGAAAAGATAACAACATAAACAAAATGCTGCATCTTTTGTTACGCTATACTTCAACCAATTAGGAAATTCACTAAATCAAGCCTGATTAAATCGCCGAAGTTTTTGTCCAAATGATTTTTGTGAAAAATTATGATCACGAGGTTGACAAGGACCTTTTTGTAGATATGCCCTACGAATTTGGTCTCGATCATTAGCATTATAATCCATAATCTGGGGCCGTAGTCCTGGATCTGCAGGAAAGTCTACTACGTTGATTTCTATGCGACTTTGTTTTGCAGAAGAATAATTATAATCTTTTTCTTGAGGAAGAGATGATTCCAACTTTGATTTTCTTTTGTAATATTTCTCCATGACTGTTTAAAAAAAAAAAGAATCAAAATAAAAAATCATAATCAAAATCACAAACTCCCACAAATCAAAATCTCAAATTTTAATACAAATCAAAAAATTTTAATTTAGCACAAATCACAACAAATAAAATTTCTAATATGCCAATATTATAACAAATGAAAGTCCCTAATTTAAATAACAAATACTACAAATTAATATTTTTAATTGTAACACAAATCAAATCCCTAATTTCAGCACAAACAATAACAAATCAAAATCTCTACTTTTAATATAAATCATAATTTTAACATATCAAAATCTCTTATTTTAACATAAATAATAACAAATAAAAAAATTTTGTGAATCAAAACTTAACAAACTATAAATTGATACTCATAATTTTTATTTAAAAATAAAAAATCATAAATAAAGTTACTTGTAAATAATGAAGAGAAAGTACCAAAGTTGTAGTGTGATCCCCAATCTATCTTGTGTGATTTTAATCTGATCAATCATGAGTTGATAAATTATAAAGTAACAAAGAGGGATAAATAAAAAATAAATTAAAAAAAAAAAGGGGGATGCACCAATAAATCCCAAAATCACCCAAAAAAAAAAAAAAAAAAAAAACAAAACAAAAAAAAAACAAAAAAAAAAGAAAAGAAAAGAAATTAGATTGGATTTGTGTCAGTGTGTTTGGGTGTGTATTAGTGTTACGCACAAAAAAAGTGTTTCGGTCAAAGTGGGCTGTTTTCGGTCAAAGAGGAAAAAAAAAAAAAAATTTCAAAAGTAAGGGGGCACGTGACGCTAGCCCCCATATCCCTCCGCCCCTGGCTAACATTAAAGTAAATTTTTTTTTTTTAATTTGATCTTGACACTATATTATTTTCAATTTTTAATTTTTAATATTTGAGAAGGAATAAAAATAATATAAGAATTATGTGAGTCTAGGCATTGTCACGTGGCTTGGTAATGGATTATGACAATTACCAAATTCTTATCAAACGCTGCATTAATATTTTATGTTATGCAAAACTCATCAGGATATAAAATCTTATTGATATAGAAGTCCTAAACAATTAGAGATTGTTTATGATATGATTTCTAGAACATTTAAACTACTTGTTAAGTAAGTCACTGGATATTATAAATAACACTCTCATGGGGTGAGGTACACAATTTCTCTTTATGAATTAGTCCATTAAATATTTTGATAATATTAGAAGAATGACTTGGGCGTCGGAGGACCCCCGACTACAGCTGGAGATGTTTTTTTATGGCCGTATAATTTTCTTAAAATGTTCCATATCAAAGTCATTCTCTTAATTTGACCATGATACTATAGATTATTTTTAATTTTTAGAATTTAATATTTTTAATGTTCCAAATATTAAAAACTTAAATACTAATACGCTACTACATTAAATAAATAATATATAAAACAATTTAATTGGGATAGGTCACAAGCCTAAATTTTTTTACCTTGTGATTTATCAAAAATGTGTTAGACCATTCTAATGGCCAAGACCTAAGTCCCAATATTTATAGTTCTTGATAATTTGAGCCAAAATGACTGCATAACCTATAATAAGCATAATCTATACTTTAAATAAAAATTATCTGTATACTATGTGAATATAGATTTGTTTTTTATTTGTTAATAGATTTATAAATCTTTGATAGTAACTTATAAATAAATTTAAAAAGTTGACATGATGCATTCTCAATTTGTATGGTATAACCTTTTGATATAAATATTTTTATTTCAAAATTTACACATAATCAAATAGTTCTTTTAATGAAATTATGTTATATGTTATAAAAATTAAAATTCAAATAGTTTAATCTCAAGTGTAGGAGTGTGCAAAAAAATTTCATAACATTATTAAAATTTTATTTAAAAATTTTCAAATTAGATTTGGCTTAAATATTTTGAACATTCATCTAAATATTTTAACATTCTAAATTAGATATGATATAGATTACCCAACATATGGATAAATTTAAATTAATAAATTTTGAAATGTGTTATTATTATATAGATATAATAAATTAAATATGAATAAAATTTCATGCTAAACTGATGTTTTAATTTTTTTTAAATTTCATATGATTTAGATATGATTACAATTTTATTTTGGAATTTTCATATAAATATTTTCAAATTTTTTAAATTATATGGGATGGATGAATTAATAGTTTTATTATGTGTATTTGTTGATTTTCAAAATCGTAAAATTGACAATTTTATATTAGTTTTTGGAGCTATCTTAATTTTTCCTTTTGAACTTTTATGAGAGAGAATAGATTTTGACAAATGAGAAAGAAGATTGTTTTATCTTTTCTTCTAAGACGCATAAATCATGGGAAAATTAATATTTTTCTAATTATTGATTTAATGGATTAACCAATAGTGTTTTTTAAAATTATATTTTAATTCAAAAATTCAAAAAAGTAGTTAAGAGTTTTGGAATTTCTACAAGGCTCCTCATGAAAAGTTAATTTGCTATAATGTATAGCATACATGTTTAGGTTAATTAATCTTTAAAAAATTGGGGTGTGACCACGCTAGAGAGGGGGGAATGTAGGAAAAGGGGGCACTAGAGAGAGGGTTATGGCTGAAGGGAAGGGAAGGGAAGGGAACGATGACGAGTGTGAATAAAGGGGGCATTGAAAGGCGATGCGGGTGTGCGTAGGGTTGGGGCTAGGATGGAGGATTGTTGTGGTAGGAGGGTAGGTTGGGGCTAGGTTGGAGGGCTGTTGACGTCAAAGGTGGCTCAACCATTAGGCCATTTAGGTTGTGGTCTAAAGCTCACTAATTTTTTTTTTAAAAAAAAAATTAAAAATAATAATCTTAATATCAAAGACCTCAACTTTTTGTAGACTTGATGAAGCCTCATTTTGATATTTAATTCCTCCAAATTCTTTGAGCGGCTACTAGCTGAGGCAAGAGATGGGGATTTACTAAGCTAGGGATGTATGGGGAGGGCTGCTAGGATAGGGGAAGGGAAGTAATGCTACATCTCTCTAATTTTCCCCCTCCAATCTCTCTTAATGATGTGGTAAACAAATTTGAAAGGAGAGAGAGAAGATAATTGATTAGTTGGTATTATTTGCCATATTATTGGAGGGGGAGGGATTTGGAGATGTAACATTTCTCTTTCTTCCATTAGTGTAGTTTAGTAAAACTAGACCGATGATGCTAATTATGACCAATTCAGATTTTAACAAAAATATTAGATTTTATGAAAGAAATATCAGAAAAAGTTTCATGAAACTTTTAGAAATAATTTAGTATGGTAGATAACAAAACAAAAAAAGAGGTTTTCCTTAATATAAGTATGTTTAATTTTGAACTCCCACAAACAAACATTATCTGTGGCAACAAACATTGTTCTCTTTCTGCTTCTATTCTAGCAACTGTAGCACAAAGAAGAGAAGAGAATGAAATGTTATGAATTAGGATTTTGGTTTTATATATAAGAGAATAGGATAGTATGCATCAGGGATGTTTGGTATGTATGTTGTCTAAGTTATATATAGTCCAAATCAGTTTTAATTCAAAATCATGAAGTGAAATTCGGAACTGATCCGTAGGGAACAGTTCCTCAAATTTTCAATTTAGGATTGAGGATTAAAAAAAATCAAACCAAACCTATTAGATTGAACTGGACCAATTCGATTTGTGAGTTTTACAAATTCCTTACTCAATCCTATTGTAAATGTAGAGATTATTGATTCTCTCAATAGAAACATCATTTGTAGAAGTTCTCAAATACCATCATACCATTGAACCCAAATAACACATATATACAACGATTTGAAAACAACAAAGAAGTCAAATAGTCCCAAATACCCTTAAACAAATCATGTACAAGTTAACGAGTAATAAGCATAATTCGGATTGAATATGCATATATTGGACAAATCAAGGCTTAAACTCAATATTATTATCGATAAAATTAATTTGGAGACAAAGGGACAAAGAAGATAATCCCACAAGCCAAACAATTCAAAGGAAGATTATATAAATCTATTTGGAAAAGACTATGGTATATACTTGTAAAAGGGTGTGCACCATATATACCTTATAACTAAAGAAGAAAATGATATAATTTCATACTTTCTGAATTATAACTTTAAAAAAAAAAAAAACTATATGAAGCATAACCAAATATTTCAAAATAATATTATAATTAAAAATATATATGATATCAAATGTATAATGTAAAATTCTCGAATCTATTCACGTGCTCTCTGGAGCACACTCTCACAAGCAAAAGGGAGACCATAAAAAGCATAATCTTCTTATTTAATAATTTATTTGGATACCACCTTACATAATTGTTGGACATAATTGTTGGATGCTAGTATAATTTTTCTCATCCAACAATGCTAGGTAACCTGAAAATTTATGACTCGAATGGCTCGAAACACCTAAAACGACGTCGTTTTGAGTATAAAACGACGTCGTTTTAACATATTTAAACTATTTGAATCACACAAATTCAGATCACCAAGTATTTTTCTTTTTCATCCGACCTTAGGCACTTCATCGACAACCCCACCTGGCTTGGTAACATATAGGTAAACACGGTTGCAGCAGACGTCACCAACTGGATTTGATCCATCATAAACTGAGATAACAATCACCTTGTGATTTTCTCTCTTAATTACAGCTATAGCTTTACTTTCACTGACACCAACCAATTCAGGCCATTCCAGTTTGAGCCCTTCATTTCACATTCAAACATACAGGTTAGTTTTTAATATGTTACACCACACTATAAGGGCAGACCAAGAATTCTAATATAAGAAAGACGACATATATATTAACAAAAAATTTAAAATAAAAGTATAAATTACAATATTAATTTTTAACGATATAAATTTAAAAAATTATTATAAGAAGCATGTATAAATAAAATAGTTTCATGTTGAGTTACAAAAAAAATAGAAATTGTAAGACAATCATGAACCTTAGTTGTGAAAAATCATTTTATTTTGAGGTTATATTTTGTCTAAATTGTCAAATTTTGTAGTTCAACCCCCATGCTTTCATAAATATAGGTGTTGGGACTGTCCAGCCACTTAATTCTTTTACAACTTAAAAGGTGTAAATATGTATAATTTAAAAATAATCAACAACTAATATTAATATACGAAGAGAATTTGTGAAATTCGATAGCCCTTTTTGTCTCCCTCTAGATCCATCATTGACTACATGCATATATATATTGGAAGTAAACATAATTTCATTAGTCAAGTAGCTTTTGTACGAGTTTTTGTATTCAAATTGTAGCTTGTTCACTAATAAAATAAAGGTAAATTACATTTTGTCCCTTTTATGTTTGATTATTTTTTCATTTTGAAACTTAATTTTTTTTTTCTTTCCATTTTGATCCTTTATGTTTAAGTTTTTTCGAATTTATTCCTCAAGCTAATTTATGTTCAAAATTGAACAAAAAATGTTACGTTAACTATCACATAACATAAAAAATATACTATTATATTGAGATTTTGAGATTTGAGTTTGTGTCAAATGTGTGAGTTATATATAATAAAATATTTTTATGCGTGGTTATCAATGTGGCATTTTTTTGTTTGATATTGAACATAAATTAGCTTTATTGGTGAACTGAAAAAAACTTGAAACATAATTAAATGCCAAAGTGAGAAAATAATTAAATATAAAGGAGGCAAAGCGTAATTTACCCTAAAAGAAATTACTTTTGACAAAGAACATTACCTTTTATCTTCTTCTTAGATAGGGTGCTATTAGCAATTTTTTTTTTCTCTTTTTTTTTTTTGAAATTCATCCATTGGTGATAACAAAAAATTTAAAATTAACTTGGTCAGGCAAATATATTATAATAAAAATTCTAAAGATTAAAAATATATTAAAAAAAGATTAAAAAAAACTAAAACTAAAACTAAAACTAAAACTAAAATCTTACCATGCAAGTATGGATTATCGCGGCATCCATTACCAGTGCACCCACAAGTGAGACAACGATAGGTTGGAATGCTGATTGCTTCCATCGTTCTATACTTCCTCTTATTTGCCACAAAACCAAAGGAGCAACTCTTCTATATTTATAGTTGAATGGGTAGTCAACAAAATTGTATAGAATTATTATATGAGAATTGCTGCTCAAGATAAAAAGTTAAACTTAATTTTAAATTTAATGATGTAGTAATTAATTAAGATATTAAAAGTAATATTCTCTTTCATATATTTTTAATTATTAATCAATCACATCATTTACGTATCATTGAGTTTAAAAAATAAGCCTACAAAACATAAATATATTAAATCTTATTGTCAAAATCAATCCTAATAATAAAAGATACCACATGACATATACGCTATTCACATACAAAAATCACCCCTTACTTGGAATGTGGGGACTGAGCAAAAAAAGAAAGTAAAGACTACAAAAAGAATAAGAATTGACGAGAATAGAGAATGCTACAAAAGTGATGGCAAAGATGTCATTTTGCCTTCAAGGGCTTCTAGAAGCCAATTCAATTTTGAATTATTCAACTCACACACCACTATTCTATCTTCTTACTTACACTTGTTTTTTCATTATAATCAATTAAATTTTTACTCTCTCACTTACACTTTTCAATATATCAATTTTACCCCATTTTCAACCTTACCTCTCCTCGTACCCACTTTCATCTCCTCTCCCCCCTCCACTTTCCTTTTCTTCTTTTTTCCTTGGTCGCCGCCGGTCGCCACTGTCACCACCGCCGACCACCACTGCCACCACCTTCACAGCCCTATCATGACCACCACCGTCCGGACCCCAGCCCCGCGATCTCCACCGCGCGAACACTCTTCCCGACCCAACCATTGTGCGAACTCTTTGCCCCGATCTATCCACCATGTGAATTCTGCACCGCAACCCAACCATCGCGCGTATGCGAGAGAGAGAGAGAGAGATAGACAAAGAGACAGAGAGAATTAAGGGTTTCAGAGGTGGTGGATTTGGGTTTTACGGTGGTGGGGGAATTGTAACCGGAAGAACGGGATGGAGAGGTTCTTAATCAACAAATCACAAACCACAAGTTTAGAGATACATATATATTAGGTATAATATAACCACAAATATGAGGAAGAGCGAGAAAGTACCGGAAGGGATGGTTTTGGGAGAAAAAGGAAAAGGATGAGGGAGATGGAAATAGCAGAGGCACTATGGGAGGTGTTGACGGTGATTGAGGGAGGTGGCGAAGAAGATGCTTTCAGGGGTGGGTACCGACCCTCTTCTTATTATTCTCCTTCGCAGATGGTTATCAATGACCAATTTATTGGTCCACTCCATGGATGTTGTTGGGAAACACATGGATCACCATTCCACCCAAATCAAAAAAGGAGGTGACGGAGAGGGAGGGTGGCAACAGTGGAAGAAAGAGAGGTGAGTACCGGCATTGAGTTGGGTAGGGTCGTGTCGCCGGCGAGTTGGGTAGTGCCAACTGCTATGGTGGCATGAGGTAGAGAGGGTTAGGTGTGTAAAGAAATTAGGGTTTCAATTTTCTAAAATTGGGGTCTAAAAAGTAATTTTATCAGAGGAGAAAATTGTAATAAAAATAAAACAAAAATAGGAGGTGTAAATAGTTGAAATTGTTGCCCAAGTAAAATTTCCCTTCAAGTTTTCCCTTAAAAGCACAATTTTTGTGCAGGAAAAACACAATTTTGAACATTTTTTTTGTACAATTAAATTCTCACGTCTCAGCCACGTCATCTTCTTCTTAGTCTTTTTATTGCCAATTACTTGGGTCAAGTTTGAGAAGACTAAATAAGTATACTTTTTGACTTTTTTTGTATTATATCTAAAAAAAATAGAGAGAAAATGTTGATTGATATGATCTAAAAAAGATAAAAAGATGAAATAAATGTACTTTTTTAGCTTAGATAAACTTGGCTAAAAAACCACATTAGGTCCAAATTGAAGAAAGAGAAAAATGAAACGAAGGTCGGTGGTTTGTTCTGGAATAGGTGCACCGAATCATCCTTAAATAGGTAAAATCTTCATGTTCGGCCGTTCAGTACCAAATAAGATTATTTTGTTCGAAATTTTAAATCTAAACAGTACTAACATAAAAACAAGTTGAATATTTATTTTTATGTTAAAAAAAAAATAACACATAAATTAATAATCGTACTTTAATATTTATGTGAATATTTATCTCTTCTTTGATGGATTGCTTCAAAAAATAGTTTTAATTAGTATTCTCATCCATTGTTTGATTTTATTTAAATTTTCTTTTATTTACAAGTAATAACAAAATAAGAAAACAATGATATTGATGATAATAGTGAGTTTTGATGGAGTGGATTGGAGTTTTGAACTGAAGAGAAAAAATAAGAAAAAATAATTGAAACTTAGGAAAAATATGAAAATGCTTGAATATGAAAAATACATATACATGATTAGGGTGTATTATGATAAAATATATATATATTTTTTATTATAAGGTTTAGTATGTATTTTTCTTTATTTGTAAATTTACATTATGATATAATAGAAACTAAAATTTCAAAATTTTAATCAAACATAGTGAGTTATTTTTTTAGCGACTCAAAATTGCATGTCTAAAATTAAAGTGTTTCAAGCTCAAGTTAAAGCCTTTCAAGGCCGTAAAAAATAAATAATCAACTAAGGCCTAAAAAATTAATTACCAAGTTAATCTTGGCATTATAAATTTAGCCCTTTTAAGGTCAGCAAGTTTAATTGCCACCATAGTAGTCGTAAAAGAAATCCAATGTGGATTAAATTGATTAAAATCAACTTTGACAATTTATGCTTTGTCAAAATAAAATTAAATTTTGAATCATTCATCTTTTCAAATTTAAACCCAAGCTCTTTTAAAACTAAGGCAGATTTGATTTCGATTCAAACTTGTTTCCTGATTCGGAATTCATTCTATTAGGTGCAGTCACAAAATTAAATTTCCAAAATCCAAACTAAATTCCAAGTTCCGATGAACTATGTTGACTTGATTTTGAATGAAATTTGATTTCGATTCAAACTAGTTTCCTGATTCGGAATCCATTCTATTAGGTGCAGTCACAAAATCAAATTTCCAAAATCCAAATTAAATCCCAAGTTTTGATGAACTTTGTTGACTTGATTTTGAATGAAACTTGTGTTGGGGTATATCTCTTTAGTGAAGTATGAGACCCAATTGATTTGTTAAAAGAATTTTAATTTGGTTTGGTTTGGTTTGATTTGGTTTGGGTATAATATATTTTATATATTATATCTAATTTTTTGGAAGCCCAATATGTATTTAATATTCATTTTGGTAGCAGTTAGGGTTTTTATATATCAAAGCCCAAGACTTAACCTCATATATATATATATGGGATCTTTTGGGAAGTAGCTTTTTACCCATCTTTTAGTTTTTTACTTATTTTAGGTCATATTACCTCTCGGCATTTTTTACTCAAAAAAAAAAAACAAAAAAAAACAAAATAGACTAAAAAAGTCGAAAAAACTAACTTTTTACCAACTTCTCAAGACACTTATATATATATATATATATATATATTCTTCCAGAGAGTGTGGCTGCTACATATTGATACATCAATTCGGTGGAAGAAAAGTTTGGGTTAGCTTCAGTTTTTTTTGTTGACAATTTTGGTTGATTTGGGCTGTTATTTTGGGTCTTCTACAACTTTGTTTCGAAAACTTTTGTTCATCTATTTGATGAGGTCTTTCCTCTTGATTATTTGTAATTTTTTAGAATTCACCTAAGAGTGGTTTTATGAGACTATTCGTGTCTTGTTTGTAATTGTTTAGAAACTTTTTAATTGATAGTGAAATCGGATTTCAATCCCGTGGACATATCTCACATTGAGGGAATCACGTAAAAATTTTTATGTCGTTGGTTTAATTTTTCTGCATTAGTTTTTATTCTCATTGCTTGATTTACTTGTGAAAAATCATATATTTTTCCTAACAACTGGTATCAGAGCTTACGGTTTATTTATGTTTATTTATTTGTGTAAATCAATGGAAGAGAATGCAGGTCGTATGTCTAACTTCAATGGAAGCAATTGGGTAACTTGGAAAACTAAAATGGAAGATCTATTATTTTGTAAAGATTTATATGGGCCTATTGAGGGTGATAGTGGCAAATCTGATGATATGAAAGATGATGAATGGAAGAGGCTTAATCGAAAAGCCGTTAGTGTTATCCGTCAATGGATTGATGACAGTGTGTTTCATCATGTTGCTACTAAAATTTCAGCACATGATTTATGGAAAAAATTAGAAGACCTTTATGACAGAAAATCGGCTACAAATAAAGTTTTTTTTTTGTTTCGTAAGTTGGTTAATTTAAAATATAAAAAGGGCAGCCCTATTCCGGAACATTTGAATGAAATAAAAAGTATTGTTAACCAGCTTGCTTCCGTAAAAATTATTTTTGATCATGAGTTGCAGGCTTTGATGTTACTTAGTTCTTTATCTGAAAGTTGAGAGACTTTGGTTGTGATGGTTAGTAATTCGGCGCTCGATGGAGTTGTCACAATGAGCCAAGTCACTAGTAACTTATTGAATGAAGAAACTAGAAGAAAATCAGCGGGTTCCTCTCATTCAGAAGCATTTGTTATGAGAGGTCGAAGCAAAATAAGGGGGAGGAGGCAGACTCCTAATGGTCGTGATCAAAACCATGTCAAATTAAGAAATGATTCTTTTTCAAAGAAAGACATTGAGTGCTATTATTGTCATGAGAAAGGGCACATGACCCGAGAATGTTGAAAACTCAAGAACAAGGAGAAAAGGCGTGTCAAAAGTGTGGATAAGAAGTAAGAAGATACAACGATGGTTACTACCAATGGTGATCTCATGGTCGTTTGTGAAGATGATTGTATCAATTTTGTAGGCCAAGAGAGCAATTGGGTAATTGATTCAAGTGTTTCTTTTCATGTGACTTCTCGAGTTGATTTCTTCACTAACTACATCAAAGGAGATTATGGTTCTGTTCTAATGGGTAATGCATGTTTGTCCAAGATTATTGGCATGAGTGATCTTTGCTTAGAAACAAATTTGGACTGCAAGTTGTTGCTTAAAGATGTGAGGCATGTTCTTACATTCGCCTCAATTTGATCTCTACTGGGAAACTAGATGATGAAGGCTTTAACAACAAATTTGGTGATAGAATATGGAAGCTCACAAAGGGTTCTTTAGTGGTGGC